AAGAAATACAAACATTCAAAGGATATGTCAATTAGTTATTACTGCAAAGTGGTTTGCCGAGAAAAAGAAGTTTACATAAAAATAAGAGGACACATTTGGTTGTTGCGGCATATTTGACTGCAACAAGACACTTTGGTATCATCCAAAGAGTATCAATCATTATTGTTTTTTACGCGCAGAAACCAATGACACTTTCCCATACGGGGGATTTAACACCCCATTCAGAATGAAGTTGGTGAGTATTACAAGTATTAGTATTTTCAAAATCCAGCTGAGCAGTCAAGGTGACTATTTTAATATATTTTACATCTCAGTCAACCCCAGTTGTACCTTTTTAAATGCATTTTAAAATGCAAATCGAGGTCCAAAACATAATACGACAAACACTTAAAATTAATAAAATGTTTCTTACTTTCTTAAAGCTTACCTTTATCATGTCATGGCTGATATCTTTGGTGCACTATGCAAAAGGAATAACAAATGATCATGTTCTATACAATTTCTAGGTATATTTTAAATTCGATTATCATATTCATTTAGCTAGTGTTGGGTAAATGCAAACTATCCTCATTGACCATTTGACAGCAGACTGTAATAATTCTGACTCGACATCGATAATTTCAAATGGTAGTGTTGGGTTGAATCTGGTTTTCAGTCCGAATAACCCCCAACTTGTTTAACAGTTATTGTTGTTTCTATGTAATAATTTGTCTTGATATCAAGGTGCCAACGAGATGCTGCTTTGTATTTTCATATAAGAAATCTATAGCTGTGATCATAAAGTTTGTGGCTATGTATTTGCATCGATAATGTCTGTGGGTGTGTGTTCGCTTATCAGAAAGTTCGTGGCTGTGCACAGCCAAAACGGACATTCATACTCAAAATACCTGCAAATACTAAGTGAACCCAGAAAGCCTGGCTTACTCCAATACATTTCATTTCATCTGTCATCACCAGCTGTTTCTGTGCAATAACTTGAGAACCGTTCAAACGCTTCTTTTCATATTTTAAAATTGGATAAAATGGATTACCTGGATCGGGTTTAGTTTTGACGATTAATCCGGTTTTGCTGTTGTTTGGCAGTCTCTTGTTTTGAATAAATTGATAAAAGATGTAATTATAATATTAGACTAAAATATTACAAATTGGTAGTTTCAGGAACTAAAAATGGTTTGCCTTTAGAAAACGACTCAATACATATCTAAAACTAATCAAACCCACATACGCCAACTTCGTTAGCCCTATATAAAGGTCGATATATCAATGAAAAAAAGTCCGCTGCCAAAAGATTGTTTTCGAAAATACAATTCGCAAAATATGTATAGCAAAAGATTAAATAGTGGAAAATGCCATTATCAGATCTGAAAATATTTGATCAACATAAACTGTTAACGAATTTCGTATCACGTATTTAAGATTAAATCTTCCCAAAGTGCTGTACTAGAAAATAGTTTGTTTTCTTATACAACAAGAATAAACATATAATAAGCTAAAACTGCTAAGTCGTATTTGGCACAGCTTTTAGGAATTTTCAGGTTTCAAATGTTCTTCGTCTTTGTTTGTGATTTGGCTTTCCAACTGTTTGATTCGAGCGCCACTGCTAAGTTTTTTATGCAGACGAAACGCGAGTGTTGCGTGCCAACTTATAGGCCTGGTATCTCTGATGATTTTTACAACCACTCATCAGCCCATTAATGGGCACTTTTGTGTTGACATAAAAAAATCATTGATATGTTCATTTTTACAAAATGTTAAACTATTCTAAACACCCATGTTTCTATCCCCGAGGCATAGATTGCCAAAGTCGTATTTGCCACAACTTCTCGGAATTTTACTTTTTTATTCTGTTGATCTTTGTATTTGATTAAGCATTCAAAATACTTAGATTTGAGAGCCACTAATGAGACTTTTGAAAACGAAACGAGCGTCTGGTAAGCTAACTTAAAACCCTTGTATCGTTGATGAGTTTTTGCCTGTTACTGAAATGCCTACATTTTTTAGAATTTCATAGGAGATATTTTACCAGCAAAAATATTTAACAGTTTTAGAACCAAGGTAGTTTTGAATAAATTTTTAATTCATATTTTTTTTCTAAATACAAGATGCTGAAATTGTATTGCCATTAAGTGACACAGTTGAGTTTCTATTGTTGGCTTAGAATTTCAGGTCTCCATTAACGTATAGCATTTTTACTATATAAAGTAGGATAAATTATATTAAATACATTATAATGGCTTAAAGAAGATGTGGTATGATTGCCAATGAGACCAAATGATATAGAAGTTAACAAATATAGATCACAGTATGGCCTTCAACAATAGGCAAAACCCATATCGTATAATCAGCTATAAAAGGCCTCAAAATGACAGATGTAAAACAATCGAACGAGAAAAACTAATGGCCTGATTTATGTACAAAACAATGAACGAAAAACAAATATGATATGCAGCAACAAACGACAACCACTGAATTACAGGCTCCTGACTTGGGACAGGTACATACAGAATGTGGCAGGGTTAAACTAGTTTGCTAGCGCCAAACCCTTCCCCTCACCTCGGACAATGGTGTAACATTACAACATAGGAACAAACTATAAAAATCAGTTGAAAAGGGAAAGAATGGCCTTGCTTGTGGGTAGTTTAAGAACATAAAATCGTTTGCTTAAGAAAAAATTGTTTTCCATAAAATCATATACAGATTTCTCGAAACAGTTAAAAACGTCGGTATATGATTAAAAAAGTTTAACCGAAATAGAAAATGAACAGTTTGTAAAAATATTTTAATATTATTTATATGTAGTAATGTTGTTTTGAAGTATGTAAAGATTTTAAACAAGCCCTCATGATGGCTTCAGTACACAAGAACTGTCAGATTCTATGAACTTAAATTTGTATTTAAGGAAAAAATAGCTAAACTTATATCAAAGTTCTATGCTAAAACTGAAATACTTAACTGCTTTTTTTCAAAACACCGGTGTTCATGAATAATACCACTGATTCATGGCCCCATTGCTTAATGGGATAAATTCTGTAATTTCCATCATTCATATCCATTCTGTCTTCCCTCGAATGAAGTCACAGGCATTTCGTGTTGAACAATACCTGAGCCTGGCTAGTACTGAAAAAAAATCACTAGAAAGCACAAACTCAATATACTTTTCATTGCATATAAGAGTGCACGGGGTTCCTGGAGTTCGTAAGTGCAAAACAGGTACTTCTGATTTGCGAACAGGCCCTTCTAATTCTATTTCACAGAAAAATCACAGACATGTTATCATTATTTTTTTTTCTAACCATTCAACAAGGGTACAACAGTGATGCAAAGTTTTGATGCTTTCATTTCATACTAAAACTACCCATATCTTGAAAGTTACAAGTATAAGTGTTTTAAATATGTTATACCTTCTAATATGTTCTTCCTGACCGGGACTGATTGATGGTTCTATACCTTAAAGTATTTCATCTTTCTACAAATATCAGTATTCTTAGATTACTATTTATAATCCAAGGTTTGATAAATAACGAAGCCTTTTGGCATAGTCGAGAACTTCGAATGATTGTATTTGCTCTTACAAAAATGGAAATAAGGCCTTATGTTTTCTATCAAAAGTGTGAATGCTCTTTCATTGCAACAATAAATGGAAACTCAAGCAAAGACATGCTGAAGGTATCAAGATGACAATTATAACTCGACGTAAAGACGTAAAACGGACAACGCAATGGCGAAACAGGAAAGACATCAAAAAGGCAAACAATTCCTGCAGACTAAGTAAAATGAATCCCACCAAAGGGTGATTTAAGGTGCTTCAGAAGGAAAAGCAGATTCTGCTCCTCTAGTGGCATCCGTCATGTTTCTCAGGTAAGTACACATTTCGCATTATCCTTCGTTTAATTACCATACACCATTATACACAGTACAAGTTTTAAGGATGTTGTTCGCTCCTTTTTTTCAAGATAACAAGCCTTTTTAAAGATTGTAATAAATTAAAAACAAACATAAATAAAGGAGCTTGAAAAGCAGAAAAAAAATTAAAGGTCCGTGTCCTTGTTTTGAGATATAGTCAATTGAAAATTTGGCAGGAAATAATTCTCTCATTTTTTTTAAACATATAAATAACAAGGATTTTTATAAGATTTTCAAAAACGGCATTTTACACTATATGTTATAAAATTATGAAAAGGAAAGTAGGGGTTAGCGGGCAATTTTTTATTGTCAGTACATGGATAACACTAGAGGATTCCGAATATCTGATAGAATGTCAAAGAATACTTAAGTCATGTTTAATACGAATGCTTAAAATGCATTGATGATACGGCATATTACAAACGCATTACTAATTTTAAGTGTTATCTCCCTTAAACCAATTCTAAAATTTTGATGTGCACGTCACTGATGAATCTTCTGCAGACGAAACGCGCTTCTAACGTATCAACCTGGTATCTTTGTTGAGTTTCCATCTCCATTTCAATACTATCAGATGCTGTTTTGGAATAAACATCCATCAAATACGCACAAGGCCAAATTATTGAGATTACAAATAAATCAAGAGTATAAGAGCATTTAAACAAAAAATAACATTCAATAAAATTGAGATTGGAAAAGGGGAATGTGTCAAAGAGGCAACAACCCGACCAAAGAGCATAACACAGTTTGTTTCAAATCAGCTATTTTGATAAAGTAAATATACATTTCAGCAAGAAAATACACAATAAATATATAAATATATATATTATTAAATGCATAGGAAAAAAGAAAATAGATTCGTGTCATAAGGTTCTAAACACTCAGTTGTTACATAAATAATACATAAGAATTCCCAAATAAGTGTTAATAATATGACACTTTAGTTAATTTGATAAACTAATACATAAATGTATATTAATATCAAAATGTTAAAAATAGTTACAATGCGGTCAAAAAATAAACGCAATGTTTTGCTAGAAAAACTAGCTAATTGATAAATTCAAAATTTGGATGAAGTTTAAGATTTGTTTATCTTAAAGATAACGAATAATTAATTTATCACACCGTCCTTTATTTCTCTGTAATATTGGCCATTGGACGTTGCAAAATTCAAAAACAAATCTTGAACTTCATCCAAATTTTGAATTTATTTATTAGGCAGGAAAATTCAATGTACAATGAGCTGCAAATATTTCTTATCTGCATCCGATTTCACCTGAATAGATGGACGCTAGATGAAGCTAGTTTGTCTAGCGAAATATTGCGTTTATTTTTTTATCGCATTGTAAATATTTTTAACATTTTAATATTTACATACTAAATAGTGTGTTAAAACTAAATTGTTAGGCAATTCATAATTTCATTTGTGTAAGTGTATTAATATTTGTACTGATTAATCCTCACTCAAATAGATTTGTATGTTATGTATTGCTATTTATAGGCACTATGTATATACATATAGGAAAGGTAACACTAGGCCATCGAAAGCTGAATTTTTAGTTCAGTCTAGATGACCGAGTGGTCCAGAGCGCTGGACACAGTGCAGGCGGTGTTGTCACGATATCCCATTAATAGCATGAGTTCGAATCCTGGCGAGGGAAGAACTAAAATTTGCTTCCGCAAATTTGCAGATTTAACATTGTTGTGCTGATATTTAGAGTAATTATGCATATACATATACATATACATGTCGAAAATATTTGTCCATTTAATATGAAAATAAGAAGATGTGGTATGAGAGACCAGAGACCAGGTGACGTAGCAGTTAGCAGCTAAAGGTCACCATACGGTCTTCAACAATGAGCAAAACCCATATCGAATAGAAAAGTGAAATCGACAAATGTTAAACAATTAAAATGAAAAACTAAAGGTCTGATTTATGTACAAAATAATAAACGAAAAAATATACTTTACAGTAACGAACGACAACCACTGAATTACAGGCTTTGACATGGGACGAATACATACAGAATGTGACGATGTTAAAAGTGTTAGTGGGAGCCTAACCCTGCCCATTATCTGGGACGGGACAGTCGTGCAACAACAAACATAAAATACAAAACAATTATTGACAAACAAATATGACCAATAGCAATAAAAAACCGACAACCACTTAATTACAGGCTCTTTACTTTGGACAGAAACATATATAATGTGGCAGGGTTAAATGGTTTTGCGGGTGCTTAACCACCCCTTACATGGGACAATGGTGTAACAGCATAATACAAGAACAACATTTTTTAAAATGAAATATTCATTTGAAATCAAGCCTTTTCTGGACTTAATGCTGTCAAAAGTAAGTCAGTTGGGAAATGTTTAAGTTGTCGCTTAGAAGTGTACTTAAAAGAAAACACCGTTCATTTTTTAATATTACAAATTAACAGTATTAAAAAAAATATATGTTCAACATAATGATTTAAGGTTATTTGAAAGAATTTGCGTAAATAATTCTTGCCTCAGAGACAGAGTGGGACTCCCCCTTTTTTGTTCGTTTGGAACTAGAGGACAATCTACATTATAAGTTCTGTATGGGTAACAGCACATGCTATAGTTATTTTGATAATAGTTCACATGTTGTGGCTTCTTTATGGAAAAAGGAAAATTCCAAAAAATACGAAGCCTAATATAGTCTACAAGAAAATACGATAACAGTCATTTGTATCTATTGAAAGGTAAAAAGATCTCTCTGAATATTTGTACAGTGTTCAAGGCTATAAAAATAAGAGGATACAGAGAGGCACATGTCAAAGAATACGGACAACAAATGAAAAAAGAAATTCAACGAAAAAGCTGACAGTTAGCAATTTCATTAAACACTACATAGAAAACTGATAATTGAAATATACACCCAACCATAAAGCTGGAGTTGAATTCAAGTTCTTCTAAAAGTTAAACAGTTTTAGCTCCTTTAGCGACCAATCGAGATCCTATTTGTTAAAATTTGTTAGTAAATACCGAATTGGTGATAAGTCATCACATATTAAAATTATTTTTCTATGAATATCCGGTGTTCATCTAGACGAATAAGCTGTTATAATCCAATGAGAGTGTAGAGATAGAACAGTATAGTTCAGAAACTCGTAGACATCTCGTATTATAGTTCTATAGGGAGATAGACCATTGCACCTTAATATCAAATATATAACTATCTCAATGTTTATCAAAAATGAATATATAACAATATAAGACTCGCACAACGACAGGTCAACCGAAAATACAGTCAATTTATAATTGCGCAGAATGTTTCAGGTGTGTGCAATGTTAAATTTGTTTTAATTTTTCGGTAAAACAGAGATACACACTTGCAGACAATCTATTATCCTTGACGTCGCTTTTTAACAATGCAAATAACAACAACCAAAATAATGATCAGACCTACAACGATTAATACTATTGCCCATCCTGGTAACGAAACATTGTGTTCGCTTATGAGGAGATCTTTTATATCAGTGGCAACATCACTTTCGGTCTGGTCATCAGTGTTGAAGTTTCGATTGCAGGCTGACTCTAAAATATTTAAATTGCTTCGAAAACCATACATATTTGTTAATCCATTTGTCGTCGTTTTCAATAAGTTCATACCGTTAAACATAGACTCCACTTCATTTTCTTTGTACTCTATACCATACCTGTCTTCTCCTAAAAATCCTGTATTGGTATCTGGTGACCATATAAGCACGCGATACACGACAGCACTACTTGAAAGTGTCACAAAATTGAAAACACGAATGTTATTCAGAGCTATACCAGAACTTCCACTTTGTCGTAACGTGACAATAACAAAATTGAACCATGGAAATGACGTGTGTAATCGCAATTGTATGCCTGATGCTGAATCTGACCTTAACATATTGATCATAACTTTGATATATTTGCTGCATGGCCCCATTTTGCAGTTTTGGAAAGTTTTGGTTTGTATATACCCTGCAGTTTGTATTGTAGTTTTGCATTCGTCCTTAAAGGTTGTAGACTCGTTTCCATATTTCAATACTTCTGAGGTAATCAAAGCTGTGCACCCTTCAATATAAATTCCGAGAAGAAACCCGTATACGTCTTGAATTCTTTCCCAGTCACAATAACCAGTTATTTTTATTACTTGGTCGAAGATAGGGTACTGCATAAAGGTCAGTTTATCGTTGCTAAGTATGCTTCCAATTTGGCGAATATATGCAAATTTAGAATAGCAGTTTTTGAGTCGATCTTGTTCTGCTTTTGATAATGGATTTTGGAGGAAAAGTAAAAAATCTGCATAACAATTTGATATTTCTCGCTTATCAGTGGCAACTTGGTTTTTTATGACCGACAAATCTATTTCCCTAGACAATTCGTCTACTCTTACACCTATATTCTTTATATTAAAATTCAAAACTTTCAAATTTTCATTAATCGTTGTTAATCCACTTTCAATATCTAATGTCGATTCAGGGTTTTCCGCAAAAATGTAGACAATGTCGCCTAGAATAGGCACACCCTCAACGAGCTCAAGGGCAACGTTTCCTGCAGATTGAAGTTCGTTGTTGGCATACGCTGTTTTTAAACTAGTAGACGTTTCTGCTAGTTGAGCAATCGCAGCTTGTATCAAAAAAGTACTTCGTCTTTTGATGTCATGATTCATATCGTTCTTAGGTTCTGTTAATTCGTAGCTGAATGAATACGAGATGGCACTTATTAAAATAATCCCCTGGTACAAAATCAACATTTTTGGTGTTTTTATTCTCTGAAAAAAAAAAATTGTGAATATTTTCACAGAGATTTAACTTTTGCATTTATGTTAACTTCACAGATGTAACTACTATAGGCTTCGTGTTGCTTTACATCACAAATGTGTCTTTTCGTATATAGTCATGACTGAAATGATATTTTCTGATTGTAATTATCAACTTGAAAAACAAATTTTTAAAATAAAAAGATTCCTATTCCCACTGTCAAAGTCTGTAGACCGTTAGTTTTGTGACGATTGAAGAGAAGCATGTCCATAGTTTCGAGATAAATGCAAGTTTTCTCAAGAAACTCGTGTATTGGTATCATACATGTGCTGACATGATTTATATTATGGATATTGATTGCTTATAACTGGAATGCTGAGTTTATAATAAAATGATATTTTGTTTAATCATGTTTTTAAAATCCATCTTGGCATTATCAATCGATTAAACATGACCTCCCAAAACTACGCACAGATGTCTTAAAACAAAAACATATATTACCAGAACCTAGAGAGGACTAAATTAGGCCATTAATTTTCTCATTTGAATCGTTTCATATTTTTATATTGCCTTTATTAGTCGACTATACAGTATCGGCTTTTCTCATTGTTGAAGGCCGTACAGTTGCCTATAATTGCTTACTTCCATTTCATTTGAACTTTGTCTCTTTGGCAATCATACCACATCTCCTTATGTTTATAATATGCTCTCTTAGTTTCATACATTTAGATATACATGTTTAAATCGAATGCAAAAAACAAGTAAGTTCAAGGAAAAGGGTTTTGCAGCTTTAACGGGATATATTTAAATATTTGAGATTGATAAGGTAAACATGACAAACATAGCTCAATCTACCGTGACTACTTTTTGTCTAGACAAGTACGTTTAACGTGGTATACCGAATTTTAACTTATATAATAATTGACATTTAAATACCTTAATACATGTCAATTTCATTTCCACTTTGAAAACTTTTCATTATCCAAAAAATCTTCCATACCTGAAATTACCTACCAATTTAATAAGTGTCCAATTTGTTACTCAGATCTTTTCAAATCGCACAAAACAAAGGATGGGGGAACTAGTTGTGTTAGTCTCTTACCTTTTTTTTTTCTTTTCGGCACGGATAAAGATTATTATAAGGTCAAATTTTTAATGGCAATTTTATCACAACATTATTATAATTTTGTTGATGTGCAATTCCACTAGAATAGTGAGTGCAACAAGTTATTTATTTTCTTTAAACTAATTCTTTTATATTCTGGACTCTGCACAATACTTTTAGTAGATGCAATCATTATTTTATAAGGCGTTAATTATAATTGCTTATTTTTGATACTGTATAAAATATTATCCAAGATATTGCTACCTATATTGGTAGGTATGATAGCATGACTTTACAACAGCTGGTTGTGAACAGTGTTGTTTGGTCTTGCTTTTGGTATCCTCAATAATTATTTTACAATGTGTTAATTATCATTGTTTTTCAATTAAATCGTGTGTTAAATAAAGGCATCATAGAGTAAATTGTTTTCCCGGTATTGAATAACATTTTACGTCCTTCGTGTGTTTAATTTATTGACCATTTGTAGACATTGGGCAAACAATCAGAGCTTGATATACTGTGTAAACAATTATCTCTTGTTGATAACCAAATCCTGACCACTTAATGTATTCGGTTCATCATATCTGTTCTAATTCATACGTCTAACTCTAGCAAAACTAATCTCCATCCCGATACTAAATGATACGAGACTGAAACATATCAACCAATTCCAAACATAAACAAACCGACCTTGTCTAATAGAAGTAGAAAAGCCTTGTTGTTGAGGTTACAATAAAGTACAGCTAATTCTATTCATTACACTTCTTCAAAATGCAATGATATTAAAGAACGAAAATTTATTTGATGTTTAACTTGTCATTGTAACTATTTTCTGTCTGTTTAGAGAATATGTGATAAGAGACCGGTCATTTTTTATCACCAGGTGCCGGCAAATAATTTTGAAAGACTGGCAAGAATTAAATGTCCCCCCTCCCCATCTTTCTACTTTTGTTTACTACAGATGTGACCCCCCCCCCCCACTTCTGACAACAATGTCAGAAAATCTTTACCCCCTCCCAAATCTGCCATTCACTATGCCTTCACCTATCACAACTGTATGACGATCCATGGTACTCGGGTAAAAAATAAATACAATAAAAAAATATTATTTTAATCAAAATTTTAAACTGAATTAAATCTATAATCACAATTATGATATAGAAAAAAATATGAAGTCATATTTGTGTTTTCAAAGGCATGTTTACCCGTGTAAGTGCATATCAGCTGTATAATATAAGTTTTAAAGATACATATAAAGAATATAACCTTTAGTTCATCTATTGGAAAAGGGAGATAAGCCACCGATGTTTCTTATTCATGATATTACTACTTCTATGGAGTGTTTAACGACCTTGGCTGGCTGTTATGCCCTCGCACGATCGGTATTCATGATATCGTTATTAATAATACTTACCTTTTGCAATTTATTTTATTCTTAGTTCTCAATGTTGAGATGTGTTAAAGGTTGTGTTTTTGTTTTTCATTTTATCGATATGTTACTTTGTTCAAACTAGTCTCATAACCATTGAATTCTGAATATATTCAAATCAAATAAATTGTGTTAACAAGTTTGTATTTTTTAAAAGCCAGGGCATTTTACGTAGAAGGTATCTGTATACATTTAATATACTGTAAATTCAGTATGTTTTGTGATGTTATTATCTAATAATGTAAAAAATGCAATCAGAGGTCACAGTAATTAGAATAAGCATTTAAATTTAGCAAAATAGGTTTGTTAGGTAAACAATCTTGTCTGGTTCACACTAATTTATTCTGTTTAATGTAACCGAAATTTATAACCAACATAAATAAGATCATGCATTATTCCTGAATTAACATCAAAGCAATACCAGAAACCAAGTGTAAAAATATGAAAACAGGAACAATGTCATATTGTATTCCTCCAATGGTATTGTGGTGTATACTTTGTACATAAACAAAAATTCTCCCTCTCGATCTTTGTCATATTTATCACTTCTCTCCTTTTGTTTATTTATTTCTTATTTTTGTCAATTTTTGTTGTTTCAATTTAAAAATTGAAAAATTGATTACCCCACCCGTTTGTTCTACATACAGAAAACTCAGACTTCCCTTTTCCAGGTTCCAAATGTTTTCTGAGCCATCCTCCACTCGTCTTTATTTGCTAGCCCTCGTGGAGATAAATAATGACCGTTCCCGTATCACTGAAAGTATCATCTTCTGTTTTATTGTTTTGTTGGTCTTATCTTAGACTTATCTACTAAATAATCCACCTTACCATCCATTGAAGTAATTATAATCTATAATGTAATCAATTGAAAACATGTGGATGTGGTATTTTTATCACGTATACTTAATACCTTGTGATCACATATTCTAATTGCATTCATTGAAAATAATTTAAATGGCTTCTGGTCTTATCTACGAGTTTAAAATTTAAGCAAATAAATTAAGAAGTTATTGTTCGCTTTATTGTAACTATTTTCCTCTGTTTGGAGAGTGTGATCCCCTTTGCAACTTTCTTTTTATTATTGTTTGTTTGTTTTACCCAAGTTGTATCTAATACATTGTCAATCAAACCGTCCATTTACGTTAAAAAACTATTGATGTGGCGCATACATCAGTGAAGTAGGAACCCAATAACAAAACAAGACAAACGGAGGACGTATGATAAGGCCAAATGTAGTTACCTTATTAGTTACACAGTTTGCTTGTGACCTAATACGATATATATGGGGTCAATAAATTCCATATGGAGTGAGAGCGAAGTTCTAACCAAATATGGAATTTACTGACCCCATATATATCTTATTAGGTCACTAGCCCACTGTGTAGCGAATTTATCTTACCGACTATCTTAACATGTGGCATTTAGACCAATGGCCTATCAAAGTGATCAAGCTTTCAATATAAAGAACCTACTTCCATTGGTCTATGCAAAAACAAATGCCAATAATAACAACTTAGTAGCTTTTTATGTGTTTTATGAATTTATTTCAATCGTTCGTCGTCAATTTTTTCATCTGTTGACCGGGTGAAACGTTTCAAATTTTTCCTCAACGCCGTGTTGTTTTTATAAAGGGACGTAACACCATTACTAACCGAATATTAAGATAAACCACGCCTTCTAACCCCATATGAAATATACTCATCATATTCCTAGAAATGTATAGGAGGTAAGATAATATATAGTATTGTACTTTGAATTATAAAATCAAACATTATTAATGTATCTTCAAAAGACCAGTATCTAATGTTCACAGCACTTAAGGCTGTTAACTATTAGTATTTTGATGTTTAAATTGGGTTTTACATGTTTTCCTTAAGGTCGAGAAATAATAAATGCATTTAATTTTGTCAAAACCTATTTGTACAATATGTCACAGTAACATCACGTATTTTGTTGTAAAGTGTTCGAGGTTATAGTATTGATTCATGTATCAGGAGAACTATGAAATGAGCGGAGTATTTTGAAAATCTTGAATTCCTGAGGGCACATTTTTTCGTTTATCGCGTTTCTTCTTTTGTCAATTTTGTACTGAGTTTTCTACTTTTGATGGGGTTTCGCAATGCGTTTTAACGATTTAAAAAGCCTTATTTTTACATACATATACACTTTATCTTATTTGGAATAAAAACTAATAGACCAATAGTAATACATTTTTAGATATCTAAATATTTCTTGCAACTTAGTTTAGTTTGTTGATAATATGCATCTAAGGTAAATACAATTTTAAATAACGCTATCTTTAATATCTAGTCATCATGTATTTTTGTTGTATTCATTGAACTAAGAAACTTGTTACTGGTTTCAGTCGTATTAACATGTATAGATTCAAAAACAGAATTCCTTATCTATTGAAACGTGAAGTTTGGAGTTTGGTTATTATCAACCCTGTCATTGGAAGTATTTTCTCTCTATATGGAGAGTATGTGATTCTCACTGAAACTCTTTTTTTTTTTGTCCTAACTCACCTATTACATTGTCAATCACATCGTTAATTAAAGTACTTAAAATCTATAAATTGTGATCACTTGAAAACAAATGGGTTTGGCTTATACATCAGTGAAATAGCTATCCAACAAACAACAAAACAAAAGGAGGACAACTGATAAGGCCACATGTTGATACCTTATATATTATTGTAATTTGAATTATAAAATCAGAAAGTATTCACAAATCTTCCAAAGACAATCACCTAAGGTATACAGCAAATTTCTTATTTTAATTGTCTCACATGATTTTATATTTTAGATAGGGTCTTACGTGTTTGCTTTATGGTTGCATAATAAATGTTTATAATTTTCCTAAAACCTATCTGTAAAATATGTTATAGTAACATCACGTTTTTGGTGTAAAACATACTAGGATATATCATTGTATTTAAGTATCAGTTGAACTATTCTGCCTTTGAAACAATTAAAGTTTTTAACAAATCTTGAATTTGTGAGGATATATATTGTCTTTTATCACAATTTCTCTTTTGTTAATTTTGTACTGGGTTTTCTACTCTCGTTGCAGTTTCGTAATATTAGTCATTAACGGTTAGACAAACATGCCTGATTCTTACATGCACGTCGTTCTCTACAGAATCAAAAATGAATCAATTGCAAAACGTTCTTAAATATATAAATACCTTTTGAAACTAAGTTTGTTAAAAATATACCAATACGCTATATTTAATACCTAGTCATCACCTATTTTTATTGTATTCAGTGCAATGATAGCTTTTAAGGGCTTCGATTTTAAATAACGTATACAAGTTCAAGTGTAAAATTCCCAAACGATCCATACTGAGATGTGAAATTGTGTTACTGTTTACTCTTTTCTCTTTATTTGGAGGGTATATGACTTTAAGGGCAACATTTTTATTTCTTTTTTTTCTTTGTCTTCTCCAAAACTTAACTTTTACATTATCAGTTACACTGTTCATTGAACAAGTTATAATCTATAATGAAATACGTAAGATGTGGCGTATACATCAGTGAAGAAGCAACCCAACGACAAAACAAAGCAAAAGAAGGACGTTTGATTAGGCCACTTGTTGGTACCTTATATGCTATTGTACCTTGAATTTCAAAAACAGAAAGACAATCATCTAATGTTCATAGCATAATTTGATAAATAGTATTATTTCTATCTTTAAATTGTGTCTTGAATATTTGCGTAAGGATCGCAAAATAAGTAAATGCATATGATTTTCCCAAACATATCTGAAAAATCATCGTATCCATGTATCGATTAAAACTACTATTCCTTTGGAACGATCGGATAATTTACAAATCTAAAATTTCTGAGGGCAAATATTGTCTCGTATCACAATTCTTTTGATAATTTTGTATTTGGCTTTCTATCATCGAAGGGCATTCGTTATGCGTCATTAAGGGTTGGACAAAATGCATTATCCTTACATACACGTCATATACTGAATCAAACTAGAGGCTTGTGTCGGTCATCTGGATCTATTTGCATCTTTAGCATTGCATTAATCATGCTATAGACCGACACAAATGTATTTTTGTTGATCTGGTATTGCTGAGTATTTTTACAGTTTACAGTTCCTTTCTATCTGCTATAGATCTTAACTTAATAGCAAAAACATATTATAAAACCATCATTTTAGGGCAATTAGAGTAATTAAATGTTTTATTATATTAATAATTTTATGGCTGATCATTTTATAGTTTATCGTTTTTGCTTATCTATCATAGTTTTCGCAATAATTGGCAAATTTATAAAAAATAAAAGTTTTAAATTGTGATTTAAGGTCAATTACTTCTATGATGAGTCATCCAAAGAATCTGTTTCGTAAATATTGTTTTATTGACCATATTTGCTATTTATAGTTTCTTCTGATAATTATGGTGAAAATACATCGAACTTACCATTCATTGCAATTTTTAAACCTGTCAGTCTTTTTCTATCTTTAGGGTTTTGAAGGCATAAGACAGTTAATGCATTATGTTTTATTTTTAGCAATCACGGTCAGAGTTGTTGACTGCCACAATAAAAAAAACACAAATCGTTTTATAAATGCCATTAAGTTAAAACAATTTAATTCACGGACAATAACCCTTTAGGGTCATCAAATGGTTTCGGTATTTTGGAATTTTCGTAGATCTTGTGTTGCTGATAATTTTCGTCCCGGACAGTTTCTTTCTATCTAATATGTTTTTTGGAATGATATAAAAAGGAACAAATATGAAAATTTCCGAACAATTGACGACATTTAAATTCTAACACTTTCCCGTACATATTCCATGTCACAGGGCTGTTGTTATTGCGTTACAAAAAAAACCGGTTGTTCGGGTCATTCGGTGTAACTCGTTCTTTAAAAACAACTTGATATTGGTTTATAGTCATTTAATGGCAATAACTCATTTAAAAGAGTCATCTGATAATCTGGATGAAATTAGGAAGTAGGTAGATCTTGATGGTCTGAGGATTTTTGCATCGTATTATTTTCTCTTTCCAAAATGTTTCTAAATACATACATGTAAGACAATCAGTGCATTTTATGTTTTCCTTTCAGCCATGGTTACAATGTTTGTTGACTGGCCGAAAAAACACAAACTTTCTTCTAGTTACTATAAGGATCATTCAGTTGAAGTGTGGTTGAAATTGGCCTTACTGGCGGTGTCATAGGAGATGATTAAAAAAACTATTTTACGACGACGATGAATGCCATGCTTAAAAGAGATTCTTATACCTTGTGTAATTTGATAAATAAAATGTTACATAACGCTATTGTTTTTAAAACCTATTCATCACCTTTCATTATTGTTTTCATTGAACGTGAATACTTGCAATGGTTGTAACGGCTTCGAGTCTTATTTACGTGTACAACCTGTAAAACGCCAACATTACAGTTTCTGTGTTTACAATGTAAGTCTAATATATTTATTATTCAGGTAGAACGCCATTAATGTTAGTCAACATGAGAGCAATGTTCATGTTTTCGTCTCAGCTGATTTTTGTAACTTTTTGGTTGTTCGTTTGTAATTAATTCGTCCTTTAAAGAAATTGGGAGTATATAATACTAGCAAAAAGCTGAACCCCCTCTTCTTTTACTATCAATTGCTGTTTAATTGACGTACGCCTCTATATTTTCTTATCGTAATCGTGTTGAAATCTCCACCGCGTCCTATGATCTCGTATACCAATGTTATATGGTGTTTGTTCAAGGTATAAGTTTGAAATATACATTTTATATAAAAATAGCTTGAAGTTATTTTATTCCAACCATTGTTTGAAATGGGGCGTTAAAAAACCCAAATACAATTATATTACTTATAGTAAATACAAATGAAATACAAAGTCATTGTCAAATTCTTACCGTTATATATGGATATATCAAGACATTTGAAAGCTTTTAAGAAAAATTTTAACTTGATAGTAAGTGGTTATTTTAAGAAGATATAATACATACGAAATATACTTTTTTTTCATAAGAGCATTTAAATGTCGGATACATACCAGTTTTATTTTCCTTCAAGTCCTTCGTGAAATTTTCTGAAATTTTATGCAAGTCTGCTAAACAAAAGTAAAATATATTGATATTCACTTGTAGTATGGGAGGAATATGATCCCATCAAATTGTATTCAAACTCACTTATTTTCTTTCAAACTGTTCCATATCCAGAAGATTTGTTTGCTTTAAACATTCACCCAATCAGATCCCAACCAATCACATCTCAGCCAAGTAGATCAGAAGGTTTACATTTTGATTTTTGAACTCGTTTTCCGTGTATACTATTATTAGGTCCGGGGACACATTTATCGTCCTTTGATTTTCGTTGTCTACAAATAGAGTATCTAGTGAGAACAGCGTATAACTTGCGCACATTTCTAAATTTATTTCTTTATATTTTATGCATAACATAGTAAGTATATATGGGGGTGAAATTACATGTATAAACAATTTGGAGTAATGTTTACAAGTAGGTAAAGTAGTGATCTGGTCCAGTTTGAAAAGGTCATAATTTAGCATGTCTAGATCTGAAGCTGTCAAACTGTATTATACACCCCCTTTACATAATATTGACATTATTTTGAGTGACAGCCTGTAGACTTTTCTATAATTTTGATATATATAATTTGTCTAAATAGTAATACACTACACTGTAACAATCTTTTTTTGGATAGAGCATGTGCGATTTTTAAAATTTTCGTTTTCTGTCTTAAATAAATGCACTACGATATAACTGTTTTCTCGGACCAGTGTGTGTTATATGTCTTTCTTGTTTTACTAACGTCATTCTGTCGGGATGCTCAATATAGTTTTTATAAGAATTCTTCGACTGCTTTATAAATTGTTTATATATTCCGTTATGGTAATCCTTATTCAAGGTTATGACTTTCGGCCTCATTTAATTTTCTAATTACCCTTAACAAATCATTTTTCGAAATGGCAAAGAAAAGAAAATACATCACTTTTTCAAGGATATCCATGTGCTCTAAAAACCGCATTCCAAATATAAATTCAACAACCGCCGTCAATCGAAGTTCCCCTTCTTAATTTAGCACTTTTTACAATTGTGTCAAAGGTGGAAATGCCGCTGCAGCCAGATTATTGAATATAAATGCACGTGGATATCCAAAAATATTCCCGTGCAATGCCATAAAATGACTAACCTGCTGTAGATTATCTGCTAATGATACTGTAAGGTCAACAGTGAACGGGAGAGCAGTTTTGTTTTCCTTTTCCTGAGCCATTACATGAAAAACTCAAAGCCTCATTTATCTGATGTTACTTGAACAAAGCCTAAGTGTGGTATACAATATATAAGACAAACAGGGCGGGAATTGTTTAGACGAACACAGGAACATCTATACCGCTTCCGAAAACCTAAGAAATTCAAAAGTATAACTTACCAGCATTTAGTTAAACACAATCACAATATTAAATTTATAAAATTCCAACCTCTCGAAACGATCCAGAAACAATTTGAAGATTACCGTAAAATTATCGAACTGTCTTGGATTAAACAACTGTATACAGCATATCCCCAGGGTCTAAATGACAATATAATGGAACAAGGGAACATATCTAAACTTCTTCTATTGCTATCATGAATATTGTTCATAAAAGACAACGTAATAAAAGGTCTCATGGCAAACGTATCAATCGAAATCAACGAATTAAACATCGTATAAATTTTACACTTGATGATCTCCTATCTATATTCAAAAACAATGGTAGGCATCAATTATTATGTTAACTGGGTCAAATACCAATTAGTAAATTACATGATATTTTCAAGGAGTGACACATCTCATTCTTCAGCCCACTTTATGAATATTCGCGTATAATTACAGATTTTTGCCACCATAGGCTGTTCCAGCGTATCGATAAACCTGAAGATCATAAACGGCATTTTTTTGAAAATTAAATATATTAACAGAGGTATTGATTTCATCAATTTATCGAGTATATTTAATGACTCTACCATTCAAAACTTTATACCTCCCTATTTTGATAACACAGAACCACCTATTATTTCGTATACTAGTATATACAAAAAAACTTAGCATAAGTTCAATTTTTAATTATCCGTCAGTAACATCAGACGTCAGTGTAGAAAATAATACTCCTCTAACTTGAGACTGTGAATCGTTGAATTTTAGATATGATCCCTTTGGCAATGTTATTACAGCGGCCCTCAATATTGTTCAAGACCGAGAGGTTAAAAACTTTTTGAAAAAAGGACCAAAATATCGCCCTCCATCTAAAATAGATTGGAAACAGTGTCTTCAGGTTACAAAAGACGCTCTTTCATCGTATTGTAATAATTGGTGCAAACGGGAGAAATCTGATAAAAAAATCTCTTGATTCTTATTTAAATGAAGGTATAAATGTTGTTGATATTTCAATATCACATTTTGAAAATGATTTAGAAATAAATAAAAGAGATACATAATATAATACGCCTATTTCTAGAATAAGAAACAAACTTCAAGTACTCGCAAAGCAGTTTGTGTTTGTACTGGCCGACAAATCAGCCAGCAATGTGGTGGTGGTATGCTGTAAATACTACACGGACGTTCTTAAGAATGAAATTTGAAATTCTTCTTCATTCAAGTCCGTGCTCTCCACAGAGAACCATATAGTAAACAATCATATCATAACCACATCACAGCTTGAGGCCTCTTCTGAACATTTGAAGGCCCTTACTATGATTGATTGATTGATTGATGTTGAACGCCACTTTCAACACTATTTTGTTATTTCATGGCGGTCAGTTTTTATCGGTGGAGGAAGCTGGATCCCTACTATGTATTGGTTACATAAACTACACAAAAAACCAGTAAATTTTCGTTTCATCTCGGCCTCTAGTAAGTGTTCTACAACTAATCTTTCAGTGCTTTTAACTAGTTACTTAACTACTTTCAAAGAACTTATCATTAACTTTTGTAATAAAGCATATGAAAATAGTGGAATTAACTATTTTTGGAGGGTAAACAATTCTTTGGATGTTTTAGATAAATTACGTGCTTTTGATGGTCCTTTTGATTCTGTTGACAGTTTTGACTTTTCAACTCTTTGCACTACACTTCCACACAATCTTATCAGAGAAAAGTTTCCCTATTCAATTAAATGGTCGTTTGGTCAATCTGAATGCAAATATATTTGCTGCAACCTATTCAAAGCCTTCTTCTATAATGAGAAAGGTGAATATGCTAGATATACTTACTGGAGGTGTGATGAGATGATTGAAGCTGTTAACTTTCTCCTTGATAACATTTATGTACGTTTCGGCAATAAAGTTTATCGACAGGATATAGGTATTCCTATAGGCACCAATTGTGCCCATTTAATAGAAGACTTGTTCTTGTACTTTTATGAATCATAGTTTATGGCCAAACTCAGTAAAGACCCGTCTAAATTGTATTTAATTGATAAATTCAACACTTATCGTTATCTTGATTATATTTTTTCGTTCAATAATAAAAAAATTTCTAAGTATACTTCCGAAATTTACCCAAAGGAACTCACTTTAATAAGTCAAATATAAACGGTAATAACTGTCCTTTCCTAGATTTAGATATTTCAGTTTTACACGGGAAACTCTACACTAAAATTTACGACAAAAGGGACGATTTTTTGTTCCCTATTGTTAATTTTCCTTTTTAGGACGGTGATGTTCCTTTGGCACCATCTTACTAGATATCCCGCGCTTTAAGTACAATATTACCATAAAATTTAGGATATGAAATACCATTTTTAATACAGCCAAATTTACTAATCAAATCTTTGTATCTATGAAAGAATTTAGTAAAAGTTTTAAGTAATTTATAGTAACGAAATCCCTGACTTAATAATTTACCAGTGATGCATTGATTACGTTCTTTAAAATCTATGACATCACTACACACACGGACATACCGAACGAGTTGGGGTATATAAACACCGTATGATGGAGCCAAAGGCACATCGCCGTCTAAAAAAGGAAAATTAACAATAGGGAATGAAAAATCGTCTCTTTTGTCGTAAATTTTAGTATGGAATTTCCCTTTAAAAATTGAAATGTCTAAATCTAGAAAAGGACAACTGCTGCTGTTTATGTTAGATTTAGTTAAAGTAAGTTCTTTTGGGTAAATTCCGGTAGTATATTTAGAGAACTCTGGATTATTAACGAAAAAATACTAGTCTAGTCAATCTGTTCTAAATAAGGGTGAATCTCAAACTAACTGCAACAAATGATTTCAATGGTAAAAACTAAAGTCTATGTACATATACATCATATAGTAAAAATATACAAAAATATCTTTTGTGGAAAAGGGTCATTTTGGGGTAAAAAATTGGATTTTGAAGGTAAAACTGCGAAAAACTGGGAAAACTCTAAAATTCAGTTATTATTTTACTAATGCTTATTCTTTTTTCTCCAGAATGCAGAACCTTAATGAATGAATTATTAAAAGATAGTAAGACATTTGTATGCAATCATTTTGTTTATATATTATCATTATCATAGAGAAAAACATCATAAAAACCAGCTAAAACCAGGAAAAATTCTAATTTTTAAATGTTAATGTTTTTTTTTCGTCTGAAAGCTGAATCTTAATGTTTGTCATATTTTAACATGATTAAACTTCTAAAACTGTATTTTTAGCTCATTATGTCTCTTTATCTACTATCAAAATCTGTTTGTTGTGTATTACAATATAATGTTTTGATGAATTTGGTAATCGAAAAATGAATCTTGAAAATTTATATTTTTTTAAACTTTAGTGATTGCCTTATTATTAATCAATTAATGTTCAAATTTTAGCAACAACAAAATCACTCAGACAATTATATGGCCATGTGTCCTCATTTTCTTTGATATCAAGTTCGTTTTATCAGTTTATTCCTCTGCACTCTCCACAACCACTGGAACAAGAAATGCCATTCTTGCGACAGTTACACCTACGGTTGTCACAACCAGTCTTGCAATTACAGTGAATTATCTTCAAGAGGAATTCAGGTGCTGGCTGCTTTGTCATTTCAATAGGAAAGAGTTTTTCATTTTTCATAGTCCAACCCCATTGCAGGGTGTCTATTTCCTCAGCGGTTTGCCCCCTCCAGTATTGACACTGAAGATAAACTCGCATAGAATGAAACTTTTTTGCAGCATCAGAAGTTAGTGGGAGAGTCTGAACTTACACTA